GCTAAGTGTTCCCTTTCCCAAGTGGCCATCACTGTTCTCCAAATCATTGATCTTTCCTCTCTGGAAAACAGAATGCCTAAAATAGATATAAGCTCAGCCCACTTGAAAATTTGAGGGTCTAAAAATTGATCTAACTGGTTTGCGACCCCAGGGGGATTCTCTAATAAGGGCTTCAGTTCTTTCTTCAATCCTTCCCCTTCCTCCTAGGGGACCCTCTTGGAGGGGTTAGAGGGCCTAAGGTTCCTCTATTTCAGGAGGGAAGGGTAAATTTTGAATGTCCTTTTTACATTGTTCTGTGTCCTTCCTCAACAGAGGAAGGGAGGGATACAGTGCTGGAGAAGGTCCGAGGCTATGGCAGCCAGCTTGGGTTCTCTCTCTTCTGTTCTTATTTCCTCTCCTGCGGCAGTTTAGGCTATTTCCACAGCAGTTTAGGCTATTCCTGGGGCAGTTAAGGCTGTAGGCCTCCTGAGTTATAAGGAGGAGGCAAACAGTCGAGAGGATCCCACTTACTATTTTCAAAACTTCTCCTTGTCTTTACCTAGTTCCATCTTTAAGGGGAATAGAACCACCAGCCCCTTTCTCCAGCAAAGAGCATAATCTATTTCTTCCTGGGCAACTGGACTCTTGTCATCAACATACCGTACAAGCAATTGGCAGATCCAATCTTCATCGGACCCGAACTTAGGCCAAAATACTGATGGTTTCAATATAGGTTCTTGAGTCCAAAAGGAACAGCAATAATCTATCATCTGTTGTTTCTTTTTCCCTTTCATCCCCAATACTGGAGCATGCGTCCTAGGGGACTGTCTGGGGGAACCTTGTTGGTCTTTCTCCCCTCAGAATCCTTCCGGCCTACAGAAGATTCTTATTATCCATCCCTATTGTCTGATTGTGTGCACTTGACTTGAGGCTCAACCCCCCTTTTCTTTCTTCAGAGGTTTCTTGCACTCTTCCCGAGTCACTTCGACTCTCTGGCCATTTCCCTCAAGGGAGAAATATCTCAGAAGAGAGGATATTTTGCTCTTAGCTTCTTAGCTACTGGCAGGTCGGTATAAGCCCCGGATTAGGTCAGAAAAGACTGCCTTATGCCATATGAAATCACCAAAGGATATTAACGGAACTATGGATCAGGACTCCACACTCGCTTCCACACATAGGTCTCATGCACACAAGACAGCCTCTGGGATGACCCGGCCACCAAGGAAATAGTTTGTCACCTCTTGGACGTTTATTAGGGCTTTCCAGGTGGCGCTGGTGGTAAAGAACCCACATGCCAATGCAGGAGACATAAGAGACGCCGGTTGGATCCCTGGAGGAGGGCATAGCAACCCACTCCTATTCTTCCCTGGAGAATCTCCATGGACAGAGTCTGGAGGGCTACACAGTCCATAGGCTCGCAGAGAGTCAGACACGACTGAAGCGACTTAGCACGCACGTGACGTTTCTTACCTTGGTCCCTGCACGGAGTAACCTGGTCGCCTAGGTGCCTGCCTGGGCCCCTCCCCTGCGTTGCCGATGGACTTCCGACCCGGAGTCCGCTGTCAACCCAAGGGATAGTAGACTTCCCCTCCCTGGATGTCACCATAGGGAGACGGTGGGACGCATCTCCGGAGGGGGGGGGGGGAGGCGTGTCCATTCGACCCCTCCAGGTGACATGGATCCCAGACGAGCCCCCAAATTGTTGAAAATGTCTTCCGCCGGCGCCGCGCGCTCCGAAAATGGATTGGCAAGGCAAACTTTACTTTTGCTGAAGGATGCACAACCAAGTGTGACCGGCCAGCACACTGAGTGGGAAGCCAGCTCTGTTTTATCGGCCAATTCAAGGGAAGGGCGAGAACAGTGAAGCAGCTAGGTGGGGGAGGGGTCGCCTTGTGCAGTTTGTTTACAGGAATTTACAGACTACAAAAAGGCATGATTTTCCTAAGAAGGAAGCTGATTATATCCTTTTATTGAAAAGGTTACGTTATTTCTACATCCCCTCCCGGTTCTGGGCCGCCGCGGTGTTCAGGTTTTGCAAACTACGCCGGCGCAAGAGGGACTGTTCGATTGGCTATTTGTTGCGATGAGCCGGCAAATAGAAGCTACATTTAAGCCCCACCCCTTCCTGCCACGCCTCCACTCACGCAAGTCGGCCCTGGGCACGTCGCCGCCACGCGCGCACTCGCACGCAGGGTGCGTGGTGACGTTACGGCGGCGCGGGCGCCATCCCGGAAGCGCGAGCAAGGCCGCCAGATGTGCAGGTGCTGCTGCCACCGATGCCCGGGCCGAGTTCAGGGTGGGGCTGGGGACGCAGGGGCCTCTGGGGATGCAGGCCGGGTTGGGCGCGGTCCCTGGGCTGTCGTGGGGTGGGGCGCGCCGTTGGCAACATCTGGGCACCCCTCCTGCGCACAGGCCTCAGTTTCCCCGTCTGCGCAGTGGATGCGCGGGTGGCGCTGTGGGCCGGATCCGGATCCGGGGCGCGAGAGTTGGGGCCTCTTGTATTCAGGCTGTGCCTTGTCACCAAAAGCGGGCGTTGGCCTGCTTGGGCCTCAGTTTCCCGGTTTCACAAGGGCGGGGCATGAGGGTGTTGGGGAGCCCCGCCCCACTGGCGGGTTTTGCTGAGCTTGGACGGCCTATTTAAACTCTGTTAAAAGACCTGGGTGGAGTAGCTGCCCCTCCCCGCACTGGTGTGTGACCTTGGGCAATGGAGCCCACCTCTGTGTTGCCCTCGGAGGTGGTAGTGTCTGCCCTGTAGGGGGAATTGGGGATTAAATGAAGTGCTACACAAGTGTTTGTTCTTATTTTTGGAAGCACTGGGGAGGCCATCCTTAGATTCCTTCACGCTGCCCTCGGAGAAACTCCCTGCCCAGAACCCAGCGCCTCTTATCACTGTTGGTTTCAGTCCCCACAAACAGCATTGTGAGATTCTAATTCTTTGTTATTCCTACTTTATGGATGACAGATCCAGGAGGTGAGATGACTTTCCCAAGGTCACACAGCCCCCCTCTGCGAGTTTTCCCCATAAATACATTTGGAGCAGGACCAGAGCCTATGCTGGGTTATTTCCACCCTGTATATAAGCCAGACTGTGGCTCAGATGGTAAAACGTCTGCCTACAATGCGGGAGACCCAGGTCCAATCCCCAGGTCAGGAAGATCCTCTGGAGAAGGAAATGGCAACCCACTCCAGTACTCTTGCCTGGAAAATCCCATGGACGGAGGAGCCTGGTAGGCTACAGTCCATGGGGTTGCAAAGAGTCGGACATGACTGAGCAACTTCACTTTCTTTCACTTTCCTCCAAGAGGCAGCTGGTGGGAGAGTGTGCCTTAAATCCCTCAGCCCTCACATCTGGGAGCCAGAGCTAGGAAAGAGCCCTGCTTTGAAGCAGAACCATTTTCCACAGGTCCAAATACTGTACCTGCCAGGCTCTAGCTGCGGGCGTCCCACCACACGACTCTGTCCTTTGAGAGCCCAAGTGTCCCCTTTATACATGATCTTCTTTGGAAATGTGGAGGTGTTGGTGTCCATACCTGGCACATAGTAGGAGCTCAGTAAGCATGGTGATTGGCGCTGGAGGGCGGGGGAGTTATATTTCATCAGATGTGACAGTTTATCTCCAGACAGCACATGGGGGCTGCAAACCAATAGCCAGATTCAGCACTAAGAGAAATGTACTCTTGGCCTCTATGGGATAAATATTAGTTGCTGACATTTATAAATGAGGTGATTTCACAGGGACAAGAAATCCATGTTGCAGTTTTTTTCTTTTTTTTTTTTCTGGAAAGAATCAGAAGTCTGGCAGAAGTCAGGGACTGTAAGAAGCAGCTGTCAGAGGTAGATACTCAACATCCAGGTCACATTTGTGGATCCTGTGGACCGTGGGCATTTGAGTTGTGACCCATGGTTACCTGTTGTGTGTAAATGGCCCAGTACCTCAGTCTCTGAGCATCATTTTCCTCATACATAAATAAGGATGGTGACAGTTGCTGGTGTTTGAAATTGGTGTCTTGTTTAGCATAGAGTAGATGCTCAATAAAGAGGAGGGTAGACATGGGCTCTGAAAGCCCTTCCTGATCCTGTGCATGAATCTTAACCAGTTGCAAGTGGGCTTTTCTGTTGGCCATTAAATGTGCTGACCCCAGAGCCAAGCTATGTCAGGATTCTGGGTTTTTCCTGAGTCTCCTTAGGAGGGCCAGTGCTGAAGCCGTGGGCCCTACTGCCCTAGCACGGTCGCGGAAGTCCCCACCTGCTGGGATGTAATCTGTGTGCCAGAGAAGCTGGGAGCTGCAGAGCCATCTGGATTGCTGGGGCTCACTGCCTGGCTTTAAGTTGCTAATAGAAGTCTAGCTTCAGAGTTTGAAAGTTTCTGTTTTGCTCTCAGCAAATTAAATTCTGGCAATCCCTTGCTATGAGCTGGGTTCTGGGCTTGGCTCTGGAGAAAGCAGCAGGCCAGAAAGACATGCGTTTGTTCTGCTGCAGCTGACATTGTGGGGGTGACTGGCAAATGGGTCATCTGATAACTAAAATAATTTCAGGAAGAGATGAGACAGTGGAACCATTTAAAAAGGTGAAGTGATGAGAGTGCCCAGAGTGGGGGTAGTCATCAAAGAGCCTCTTGGGAGAGAAGGCATTGGAGGGGGTAATGATTTGAGGGACAGCCATGTATATTCTCCCAGCGGGGATGGCAGGTGCAGAGGCAGGGGACATGGGAGGAGGGTGGCAGATCTATGCAGGAGGAAGTTGCCTGTGACTTTGGGCACATGGGAGTTGGGGGTGTGGAGGTAGAAGGGGTGATGGGATTCTGATGTGCTTGGGTACAAGTTATAAATATGAACTCCGGTGATTCTCAAAACACTCCTGAATTTCTGGGATGACAAAGCTGAGACTCAGGTGGTATGACCCACTTCATGTGGCTTGCAGGGTTCCCAGACCCTCTTATCCATCCCACCTCCCGCACTTCCTGATGCAAACTGAAAATTCTTTATTCCTGCCTGTTTCAGGCAGCGGAGGAGGAGGAAGAGATGGACCCCCCGGACTCGGCCTCGAGGGTGTTCTGTAGCCGCATCCTAAGCATGGTGAATGCGGACGATGTCAGCGCCATCATCCTGGCCCAGAAGAACATGTGAGTGAGGCCAAGGGCCCTGGGGCCCTGGCGTGGGAAGGAATCCACTTGCTGGCCAAGATTCTTGCCCTGCCCGCCTCTACCCTGGTCCCACACTGGTGATAAAATGAAGGAAGTGAGCAAATCTTCTGGCTGGCTCCAAAGTGAATTCCTTCCTTGCCTGGAGGCGAGGCCCTGGCACTGGCAGCGGGGCTCTGGGACAGTTTTGCAGCTGTGGACAGTTTGGTGGGGGCCGCAGCAGCTCCTACCCCGAGGCCTGTGGTGGGGACCTGGGTTGGGGGGGAGGATAAGGAAGGGGCTGTGGGATTTAAGGGAGCCATGGCTCACTTCCTGTCGGGCGCCTGTTCTCACAGCCTAGGCTGTCTCTGCAGTGCATGCGGGGTCACTTGGAAGGGCTGGGAATGCCCTTTGCCCTCTTTGGGGCTTGGCACTGTAGCCACCACAACTTCCCCCTAATTCCAGCATGCTCTCTGACACAATCTTGGGGTGGAATCAGTCTCCTGGGGCTTTATTTTTGTGTCTTTAAGCTAAAAGTTCTTCATTCCATTTATGGCACAGCATGGATCTGATACCTTACCTTTCTCGTCCTGTGACAAGGGTGCTGGATCTGCCTGGGTCTCAGCACCACCCATCTCCCTCCTGGGTCTTAAGGTCAGATTCAGACCTAGCCCTGGGGGAACTCCCAGGCTGAGAGGAGACAAAATCAGACTTGAACCTTCCTGGCCTCAGGGTATCAGGACTGGACCAGAGAAAGAACCTGGGGAAGCAGGAGAGTCAAAGAGTCTGCTTGAGGGAGAGGGTGAAGGCTACATGAGAAGGGCACCCTTGAGGAGGGTTTTGAAAGTTGAATAGGAGTTTGCTAGCTGTCTCAGACACCAGGTAGAGCTCCACAGGACACAGGAATGATGTACACCGAGGTCACGGAACAGGAAAAGGCCTAGCAGGATCAGTTGGCAGGGCCCTGGAGGCTGAGCAGAGGAGTCGGTGCCCTTTTTCTGCTGCCAGGCTGGACCGCTTTGAAAAGACCAACGAGATGCTGCTCAACTTCAACAACCTGTCAAGTGCCCGCCTGCAGCAGATGAACGAGCGCTTCCTGCACCACACAAGGACCCTGGTGGAGATGAAGCGGGACTTGGACAGTATCTTCCGCAGGATCAGGTGGGTGCTCCCCCTCCAGCCTCCGCCTCCCACTCCATGCCTCGGGTTCCTCTTCTTTTCCATGAGGGCCGTCCTCTCCACAAAGCAGGGTGGGAGACTCAGCTTGTTTGCTTTACAAGGCTTCATCGCACACTTAGTATTGGAGGACTGAAAACCTTAGAATTTCTGAACTTAAGTTTTATTTCTTTTTGAACATGCAATATAGCACCAGACCCATAATGCAAAAGGTAGGCAGGAGCAGACAGTGAAAGGCTAGCCTCCTGTCTGCCTTGATCTCCACCCAGTTCCCCAGGTCTTCTCTCAGAGGAAAATGAGATTCCCGGGTTTTGTGGGTCCTTCTCGAGCTGGTTTTCATGAGGACAGGGAAAGACAATGTCCAAGTCCCCAGTCACACAGAACATTTGACAATCCCCACTGCTCCGCCCCGGAGCTCACATCACTGCTGCTGCTGCTAATAGTTGGGGCGCCTGGCCCTGGAACCAGCTACGGCGGTATTTCTGGCCGACCATGCCGCTTCCTCTATTTCAGGAGCAGCCACGTCTGCTGGCAAAGTAGGTGCTGCAGATTGAGGGCAACAGGTTGGAGCAAGCTCTATGCAGAAATCATGAAACAGGCCAGAGAAATCCTGTGTAAGAGGGCATCTTTTCTGGGGCATCTCACCAGGCTGCCCGCCCATGTGTGGTGTCGCAGGGATGGGGCTAGAGCAGGAACCCCAAAGGCTGACATGTATGTGTCACTCAGTAAAAGTGAAAGTGTTAGTCAGCCAGTCGTCTCTGACTCTTTGCAACCCTGTGGACTGTAGCCCGCCAGGCTGCTCTGTCCATGGAATTCTCCAGGCCAAAATACTGGAGTGGGTTGCCATTTCCTTCTCCAGGGGATCTTCCCGACCCAGGGATAGAACCTGAGTCTCCCGCATTGCAGGTAGATTCTTTACTGTCTAAGCCACCAGGGAAAGTTCTGATGTCCCTCAGGAAGGAGATAAGTGTGTTTGCCCAGGCAGGGACTCAGCAGCAGTGGTACTTTGCGGGGATGAACTGGGGGATGGTGTTGGCTGACCAGAGTCAGGGGTGAGAGACTGCTGTGAAGACCCTTCTGTAACTCTTTGTAAACAGAACTGCATTGAAAAAAGTGAAAATGTCAGTTTCTCAGTTGTGTCAGACTCTTTGTGACCCCAGGGACTGTAGCCCGCCAGGCTCCTCGTCCATGGGATTTCCCAGGCAAGGATACTGGAGTGGGTAGCCTTTCCCTTCTGCAGGGGATTTTCCCAACCCGGGTCTCCTGCATAGCAGGCGGGTTCTTTACCATCTGAGTCACCAGGGAAGCCCAAACAGAACTGCATTCCTTCAGGTACAAAGAAAAAACCAATAATTACAAAAGGGAAACAGGTGCCTCTCTGTGAACTTCGGTTTAATGAGTGCCGGTGTTTGGGGCGTGGACAGGCAGGCCCTCCCGGCCCCTATACAGACATCCTCGCCCCAGATGGAAAGACAGGCTGTGACAAGTCCCCCGGAGGAGTGGCTGTTGAGGTGAGGGGAAGGGGAGCTCCCCGGAAGGTGGTCCTGGTATAAAAGAGTGAGACACGAGGCCTTACAGGCAGGGCCCAGCCCCAGCCCTGAGGACACACAGAGGCTGGGTGACAGGAGCACAGCTACCATCCATCGCGGGGTCGAGGTCCACGGGCTGAGCGCCAGGCCCCGCTCCAGCCTGGGAGCCGGGTGCGACCGGCAGTGAGCGGGAGGCTCCTGGCCTGCAGCGGGCCCAGCTGTCTCCTCAGCAGGCTCAGCCCTGTGTGCCTTCCCTTCCCCCACAGGACACTGAAAGGGAAGCTGGCCAGACAGCACCCAGAGGCCTTCAGCCGTAAGTGTCACCCAGAACTCCTGCATCCCACTTCCGGGCTCTGTACCCTTCGATGTCCATGCCCTCATCCCAGGGCTGGCTTCTGGAATGCACCCCACGGGTGACACCAGGCCCAGGCCCTGGTGTGGGTCGTGGGTCCAGAGACATGGGGCAGGGGTCTGGCCTGGTCTTCTTGGCAACCTGCAGAGCAGGTGTTGAGATCAGACTCTCCTCTTTTGGCGGAGGTCCTAACAACGGGATGTTCATGAGGATGACACTCCTTAGCCCAGTGAGTGTCATGTACCCACTATGAGGCAGGCTGTTACCCGTAGCCACCTGTGAGGTGGGGGCTGTGCCCAGAGGGGCAGTGACTTGGCAGAGGAAGCACAGCATCGTCCATGCTGAGCCTCACTTTACCCAGTCTGCTGAATGGGCCAACAGCTCCCCACCCAGGGCTGCTGAAACCACAGGCACAAAGGCAATGCCATCATCTCCCAGTTCATAGAGCAGGGAGCTGAGGCACAAGCAGGCGAGGGGCCAGGCCCAGGTGACACAGTCAAGAGGGCAGAGCCAGGCTCAGGCTCACCGCCCAGGGCCCATATAGGCCAGACCCCGGAGAACCTGAGTCCTTACCTCACTTCACCTTAGAGAGAGGCCTCTCACCTGCCAAGGCCTCAGTTTCCTCCTCTGTAAAGTGAACAAAGTCTTGTCCTGTGGGGTGGAGGTAGCTGTCAGGGGTCATGGGCCCAATTAATCCCTCATCACAGTGCCCAATGGTGACAGTGACTCAGCCAGCTCTTGGGTCTCCTTCCCCCAGACATCCCAGAGGCATCCCTCCTGGAGGACGAAGATGAAGACCCCATCCCGCCTAGCACCACCACCACCATTGCCACCTCGGAACAGAGCACAGGCTCGTGTGACACCAGCCCCGACACCGTCTCCCCCTCCCTCAGCCCTGGCTTCGAGGACCTGTCCCATGTCCGGCCTGGTTCCCCCGTCATCAACGGTCGCAGCCATACAGATGACGAGGAGACGCCGGGCGAGTAGCCCTGCTCCCAGGAGCTCCGAGGGGGTCTCAGGGCAGCAGCAGCATCGCTCCCCAGATGTCTGAAGTGGCGGCGGAGAACCCGGCCTCGAGACACTCAGCTTTGCCACCCTAGTCTGTCATTTAGGGCTCGCCAAGGGGACAAGCCTCCCTCCCTAGAATTCCTGGGGATCTTTGATTCTTGCTCCTTCTTCACTGAGAACATCTCTCTTCTGTGGATCCCTGTATCAGACTGGGGATGACCAGTCCATCTGGAGTTGGGCTGGGCACAGGGAGCTTTTCCAGAGTCAGGCCTTAGGTCTACTCTGAACAACACTTAAAGCTTCCCAGAGACCAGAGCCAGATGTCCCCTGCCCCAGCCCCCTGGTCAGAACCCCCTCAAGACAGTCAAGCACTGTCATGTCCAAGTTCACCGAGCCCAACCCTGCGCCTACTAATTCTGGTCTTCTTGCCCCTTCCTCCAATGAAAGTACTGAATCCTTTCTCCAATCATTATCTCAAAGAGGTTTCTGAAACAGTTGTAGAAGGCTCAAGACAGAGATTAGCCATCCACTCAGCCCCAAGCCTGGTTGGGCCCTGTTTCTCTGACCGGAGGTGTAGACCTCTAGGGCCTAACAAGCCTCTCCTTGGGCCTTTGTGGAGCAAGCCGAGCAACCTTGGAGAACAGAGTTAAGTGGAATATTTTTGTACCCGATGTTTACAGATGCTGTTGGGAAGCTATCAATAAAGAGACTCTGTTACTAAAAAGGGAAGGGTGTATCTAGCAGTGACTTCCTTCCACCCTTGGGCGCAGCATCCCAAAACAGGGACAGGTGCTCCAAGTGGGACAGGCTGGTTATGGATCGCCAGGCACCACTGGCCTAGAAAGAGATGTGGCTGCTCCAGGTGGGAGTCCCCAGTGGTGACAACCATAATGACCCCACTTCCTATCACCACAGAAGCCTTCCCACTGCTTGCACATCATTTCCTTACTTCCTTGAATAATTCCTCTAAATCTCAGCCCCAAAATGGGCTCCTCAGGGAGCTAGACGGGGTCCCATTCCCCACCAGACACTGTCAGAGCCCCCTCATCTTTGAAACACTTTCCATTCTGTTATCAAAGGTCTCTTCCCAGACCTCAGTGTGTCTGCATTTGCCTGGTCCACAGGCGGGGCCGGGAAGTGGTCAGTGAAGTAAGGTACGCTGAGCAATGGCTCCACTGTGAAGAAGCTGCCTGCAGTGCAAATGTGGGTTTGATCCCTGGGTCAGGAAGATCCCTTGGAGGACAGCATGGCAATTCACTCCAGTATTCCTGCCTGGAAAATCCCATGGACAGAGGGGTCTGGCAGGCTATAGTCTATAGGGACGGAGTCAGACACGACTGAAGCGATTTAGCACAGCACGCTGCCAAAGCCACGGATAACCGTCCTCACTTGTTCCCGGCGCCCAGCACTTTTTAACTTCTTCCGTCGCAGATCCAAAACAGACCCTGGGTCCCACTTCATTTCCTTGAGTGAATGCACCACCACCACCTGCTCTCCGCGCTCCTGTACGCACCCACCCCGATATCTATTTATGCACAGCAGCCAGAGAACCTCCAGTGGCTCCCAGGGGTCTAGCCCCCGCGCCGCCTCCCGCCTCCCGCCTCGACCCCTGCGTCTTTGGACCTACGGCTTAATACCTTTCTTTCAGCACAAAGGTCTCTCCTACTCTGTTTAAATATTTCCGGAGCACCCGCTATGTGCGGGCCGTCTACCAGGCGATTTGGAGACAGCGGGCAGTAACACCTGGAAAGGTGCGGCAGTCTTACTACGTGACCCGGTGGGTGGGGCTCACACCCGGAAGCTAGTGGGCGAAGGTCCCACTCAGGCGCCGCGACTTCGTTCTCCTGCACCCATCACGGGGGCGGGGCGGGGTCGCGGGCGGGGCACGGCGCGTGGCGCGGATTGTGACGCAAGCACGCAGCGTGCTCGGTGCGCAGGCGCTTTCGGCGGCGAATCGGCGGTTTCCGGTTCCGCCGCCCTCTTTCTCTTCAACCAGGCGGCCGAGTAGGTTGGTGGTGGAGGCCTTGCGGGTTGGCGGTGGGCCGGGTTGGTTTGTAGGGTTCGGGGGACTATGGGGACCCAGGGAACGGAGGTGGCGGCCTGGAATCCGTGTAGGCGGGCCAGGTTCTGCGGGATGGCTTAGCAAGGCACGGTGGGCCGGATTCCGGTCCCGAGCTGGGCCCCGCGAGGGAAATCGACATTTGGAAGGGGAGCTTGCCTGCTCCGCCGGCCCCAGCTGTCTGAGGAGGCCTTGGGGAGAGAGCGTGTGTCCTTCTTGGATGATCCAATATAATCATATTGGGGTGTTAACTGTAATTTTTTTCTCGTGGCGGAAACTGCCAATCCCTTCGAAACTATGAAGCCCCTGAGCTGGGTTTCTATCAATCTCCTTTGCTAAGTCTGTAAAGAGAGTCTGGTAGTAGCAACTGTTTTCTTAACTTAGAAAGATGAAAACGATACCTGTGTAAACAAGTACCAGGCACGTGGTTAGCAGTTGTTACATATGGATTGGATAAAAAGCAGGAAGTGTGGTCTGAGCTTTAGGGTGTAACCCAGAAGGAAGCCGGAGTTTTGGGTGTCTGACCTTGGTATTGAAGAGGAAAAGGGATTGTAGGGAGTGTGCGTGTTGAGATGCTACTAAGATGAGAGTCTCACCCAGGCTGCAGGAACGGCAGGGTCTGGTGAGGAGAGGAAGGGTGGGACTTCCAGACCACCTTGGAGAAAATATGCTTGGCAGGGTGGTGCCCTAAAGTTGAAGGTGCAGGCTCAGAGGGGCAGAAGGAAACAGGCACAGAGGTGGGCCTGCAGTTGAGGTCGAGTTATACATGGGGCTGTCAGGGACTAAACCTGCCTGATCAGCCTGTGAGCTGGGGCTGCTCAGACCTTTAGTGATCACCACTCCCCCATCCATGCTAACCCTCTCTCCCCAGCAGACGCAGAGATGCAGATCTTTGTGAAGACCCTGACGGGCAAGACCATCACCCTTGAGGTCGAGCCCAGTGACACCATTGAGAATGTCAAAGCCAAAATCCAAGACAAGGAGGGTGAGTTGGGCTGAGTCTGAGTGCTTGGCCCAGTAGGAACTCCTCAGCCCTGGATATCTGCTGTCCTGTGTGGAATGGGTGCTGGGCTTCAACAGATCTCAGCCATGCCCGTGTTCCCCAGTGTCATCTTGGGAAGGCAGCTTGCCCTCCCCACCTCAGTTTCCCTTTTGACAGATTGGGGTAATCCTGGCACAGCGTGTGTGTGTGTGTGTGTGTCTGTGTCTGTCTGTCTGTGTGTCGGAGGGGGGTGGTTGCGGCAGTTGCCAGCAATGTGCTTGCGAGAGAGCCTCTATCGTGGAAATCCTCTTTTCTTAGGCATCCCACCTGACCAGCAGCGTCTGATCTTCGCGGGCAAACAGCTGGAGGATGGCCGCACTCTGTCAGACTACAATATCCAGAAAGGTATGGGGGTGAGGTGGCGAGACAGGACCTCAGCGAGGCCTGGGACCCAGGATGGAATACTGACAGTCTGTCACCAGGAGGGAGCTATAAAGAAGGGTGGTCCTTAAGGTGGGGATCAAATGGCGCTAGGGAGTGTTGCTCTCTAAAGTGCTGTTTTCATCGCTGAAAAGCATCTCCATCAGTGTTTTCCAAATGGCCATGGTTTCTCATGTTCTTAGTCACTTTTTTTAAGGCCTGTGTGTGTGTGTATTAATGTTATAAGTATTCTAAAGGAAATCACCACTTTTTCCTTAGCAAAATAAAAGGTTATCCTTGCATCTTTTAAGAATTGCCTTGCTTGTGGGGAAACACAGATGGATACCACTGTTGATGTATATTTATATTAGTCTCCAATTTCGTGAGGACTGGTGGGACATGACAAGGTGGAGGTTCTGTGCGGTGGCATGTCCATCTGCACATACCCACGGGATTCTGATGTAGCCCCATCATACTTGATAAACTGGTCTGGAGGGCCCTGCAGGCTGCCCTCCACCCGTGGGACTGAGGTGGTGAGGCAAGGCTTGGACAGTGTCTCTCTCCGCCCTTCATTTCCTGTAGAGTCCACCCTGCACTTGGTGCTTCGTCTGCGAGGCGGCATCATTGAGCCTTCCCTCCGCCAGCTCGCTCAGAAATACAATTGCGACAAGATGATCTGCCGCAAGTACGACTCCCGTGTGCAGGGGCGGGGCAGGGGTGGCTGGGCGGTCGGGGTGTGCCCTCACCGGCCCTGCTGTGCTCCCACAGGTGTTACGCGCGCCTGCACCCCCGTGCTGTCAACTGCCGCAAGAAGAAGTGCGGCCACACCAACAATCTGCGCCCCAAGAAGAAGGTCAAGTAAAGCTCCGCCGGCTTCTTTGCCCGCAGGGCGGCCTCCTGCCCAAGCCCCGTGGTCCTGGGGCCTCAATAAAGTTTCCCTTTCGTTGACTGGAGCAGTAATTGGTGTCCCTGTGGCTGGTCTGTCCAGTGGGGAGGTGACTGAGGTGTGGACATCTACGGGACTTCGTGTCACTCAGCTCTTCATAGCCCTTGGGGGGGTCCCAGGTCTGGAGTTCCACTTGTCTCATCTGTAAATTGGGCCATGGTCCCTGTCCTTCACATCTGAAGTTGTCATAACCACAGCAAGGCAAGTCTCAGACCTGGCCCTCTGCCACATAACCTAGTGAGCCCTCCCATTTGGGTTTTACCATCTGAAATATGAGAATAAAGACCTTCAACCAAGTGACTGGTGGGACCCGGTCAGCACATTTAACAGCCCCTCATGTCTGGGCCCTGGAGGTGTTTGGGTGTGGGCGGATGGGTGGATAGGATGGAACACCCCACCTAGTGTAATAACACCTTTTCTCCGTTCTGCCTGACCACTGGAGCCCCTGGGCCCCACCCAAGACATGTCTGTCAGGTGAGGGCAGCAGTACCCTGGCAAGCCCATGTTTTTATTTGTCTTGGGATGACTGGGGCTGGATGTAGGTGACAACTCAGGCCCAGACAGTGAACAGTGATGCCTGAGAATAGCTGAGACCTGGAGGCTGTCGCTTCATGTCTCAGCTAGACGAGTTTCATTTTTTGTTAGCTGCCCCTCCCTCCCTAAGGCCAGGCCACCATTTTCCTGGTCTACCCACTTGTCTACTCCGAGAGGAGGGAGGTTCTGAAGTTCAAATTACACAGTGTGTATACAGCTCTCAGGCCTCTCAATATGAAACACTATACCACCACCCTCGCCCTGCCCTGCCCTGGACTCCCATCTCAGGGGCTCTTTTTCAGCTTACTTCCAATCAGGGCTCCCCTGATAGCCCAGTTGGTAAAAGAATCCAGCTGCAATGCTGGTTCAATTCTTGGGTAGGGAAGGTCCCCTGGAAAAGGAGTAGGCTACCCACTCCAGTATTAGCTCAGATGGTAAAGAGTCTGCCTACAATGCTGGAGACCCAAGTTCAATCCCTGGGTCAGGAAGATCCCCTGGAGAAGGAAATGGCAACCCACTCCAGTATTTTTGCCTGGAAAATCCCATGGACTGAGGATCCTGGTAGGCTACAGTCTATGGAGTCGGAGACGACTGAGCGACTTCACTTTCACTTTCACCCACTCCAGTATTCTTGGGCTTCTCTTGTGGCTCAACTGGTAAAGAATCTGCCTGCAATGCTGGAGACCTGGGTTGGGAAGATCCCATGGAGAACTGGAAGGCTACCCACTCCAGTATTCTGGCCTGGAGAATTCCATGGACTGTATAGTCCCATGGGGTTGCAAAGAGACAGGACTGAGTCAATTTCTTTTTCCAACCGGTTCACATAGGACCTGCTAGTGAATCTGCTGTGGGCTGCGTTCCAGCGACTTGAGCTTTCCAATGTCAGAACCTGCGCTCAGATCCCACTTTTGTCACAAGCTTGTGGCGTCAAATGACGAATATCACTTCCCAGATTGCTTTTCTTTAGTTGTGTGGGAATGGGATGTGAGGAAGTGAAGTCGGGTGCTGACAGTTGTATAGAAACAAAACCTTGTGTATATAGAACCTTATATTCAAGATCAAAAAGTTTGAGAAGGCGAGCGCTGGACAGGAATAAACACGGGGTGTAGTGGCTAGAGGGTGTCAGGCCTGAGAAGCCCTCCAGTCTGCTTCCCATTCTTCCCCGGGGTTTATTCCAGGTTGGCTAGGTTCCGAGGCCTCCGGGCCTGCAGGGGGCGCCAGGCGCATCGCAGCAACCTGATCCCGGGCGGGGCCAGAGCTGCGCAGTCATGATCACGGCGGAGGCCGCATCAGAGTCCACTGTCCCTGCGGTGCCCGGTGATACGACAGCCACTGGAGTCCCAGAGCGCGAGGAGCTGGTGTGGCCCTGGGTGAGCTCGAGCCCGAGCGGGAACATGAGTGGGGCGGGCGGTGCAGGCCCGGGGGCGCCAGCTTCATGCCCTAGCCATGCTCCTCGCTCCGTAGAAAGATGCTCCGATCCGGGCGCTGGTGCAGCGCATCCATCAGCTGCAAGCTGAGCGCGCGCAGGCCTTCCGCCGGCTGGAGGAGTGAGTGTGGGCGTATGGGAGGGGAGGGGTCCCAATGTTCGGCCCAGCCCACTCTGAGGATGGGCGAGCCTTGAGGGAGGAATTGGGTCCCCGCGCGCCTCAGCGTCGGAGGTGGAGTGGGGTTTGCGGGGAGACCAGATCGCTCCCTTCGCTATGCGCTGGGGTGCGCTCGTCTCGAGTTACCCTGCGGGGATCGGAACGTCCTCCACACTCTGGGGTCGAGGGACACTTCTTGGGCGGCTTTCAGGCGGTCGATGCGGGTGCAGGGCCTGAGAGTGGGGGCCGTAGCCTCAGGACCCCCACCTGCCGCAGAGGCCACCGCCAGTACCTGAGCAGCGGCCCGCCCTACGACTTCCCGCGCTACCGGAGCACCGTACACGAGGTGACCCAGGCCTTCGCCGCCGCCTCGAGAGAGGTGCTGGCGGTGGAGGCCGAGCTAGCCGGACCCCGAGCGCAGCCGCTGCTCGCGAGTCACGTGCGCAGCCTGCAGCAGCTGGAGGAGACGCGACTGACCACGGTGAGGCCCCATTCCCGGGGTCTTGGCCCACGGTGCACCCCTTGGGGGAAGGGCCACATTCCGTCCCTGCAAACCCCGCCCCTGGTGCCCCAGCACCGCCTCTACATACCCCAGCTAAGTTGTCCATTAAGATTTCACTTGAGAGTCTCAGGCTTAGCCCCCTCCTTTCTGCCCCCACTTTTATCCAGGACACGTCCGCTCGTCCCAGACCCCGCCTCTCCAGGGCTCCTCCCCCCTCTGGCTTGTCTCGGTGCCCCGGATCTGTTACTCCTCCCTCAGATTGGGCGGTGTGAACTCCAGGTCAAGTCCCCTTCCTAGTAACCCCAGATCCCAGCCTAAGTTGTGGGCCTGTGACCCGGCCTACCCTGCCTTCACAGCCAATCCTGATCGAGATACAAGGCCACGTGAAGCCACGCCCGCACCACACTCTCCGCTGGGATTCCCAGGCCAACCCAAGTCTAGGTTTTGGGCCTACTTCCAAATTGGGATTATAACGCCCTAGCTGGTCTCTGAGACTAAGAGATTCTGCCTATTTTATACCCCCACCTGCACCACTCCTGTTCCCCAATCCCTGGCTAAGATTTCACCCTTATTCCCCTTCCCCCCCCCCCCACATGAGGCCACACCCTCTGACTCTAGGGCCTGCCCACTCGGCACCCCTGGTCAGGAGCCCCTCTAAACCTAATCCTAGATTCTTCCAGCGTTAAAAGAACCGCAGCCCTTGAGACTCCTGCCTGCTTTGCCCCTCCTCCCCCTTGTGCTGCCTTTCTGGGTGCCTCAGTGTTTCCCCCTCCCTCCTGAGGGCACAGCCTCTGCCAACCATGACATCCTCCTTGCTGCCCATTCCCCAACCAGGTGGCCCTGCTGCAGTTGATGGAGACACCAGAGCTGACTGGGCAGGACGACAGCCTGCAGATGCACCAGCTGAAGATGAAGTGAGTGCTGCCTCCCAGTGGGCTGACCATGCTAGGTCTGCATAGGCATCCTTGGGCACCCAGTCCCAAACAGGCGTGCCCCAGGGCTGGCAAAGTTGACCGCCAACCCTCTGGACCTGCACACAACCCGTTGGGCGTGCACACCAGAATCTTCACCTGGTGATCCTAGATGAACTACCCCACCTTCCCCCAGTGCATATGCCCTGCCCTTTCACACCAGACTCGCTGTGGATTTTCAGGACACGGCTGCACCCCTCACACCCGTCGATCCCGCTCACATGGCTCGACTCGGAGCTTGGACATGGTTGCCCAGGCCCTACAAGGCACACGCCTGCAGCCTCCCAGACACACACATGTGCACACCCACTAGACATCTGCCACAGTCACCCCGCACACCTTCCTGCTGGCACACGCTCGCCCAAGGTGACCTTTCCTCCCGCCACTCTGACCCACAGGGCAACCCCTCCTCCCAGGCCCCTAAGTGGACCTGCCACTGCTAGTGCTGCCTGGAGGTCTGGCGGCAGGCAGGCGGGCCCGGGGCTTGCTACAGCCCCCTTGGAGCTGCACTGCGGCAGCTAATTCGCCCCATATGGGTTTTATTTATAGTTCCCATCCACTCTTGTAGGGTAATTAAAACCATGGAAGCGATCAGTGAGGTTCTCCAGGACCTCAGGTTTGATGCGGAATCTGCCGAGTGATGGTGGCTCCGCAGGGACAAGAGAGATGGAAAATGGGGCATATGGCGCCCTGCCCTGACCACCAGCTGGCTGGGGTCACACCCCACTGGACCACTGACCCTCCTTGAGTTCACTTCACCTCCCATAATAAAGAACCTAAAGAACCTTCTGTCTGCAGCTGCTCCACTATCTCTTGTGTCCTGGGGTGCTGGGGTGGGGTCCCACAAAGCCAGGGATGCTGGGTGCAAGAGTCCCTTCCACCACCCCCACTGCATGACTGTGGAAACTGGTGTTTTGAAGCCCACTCTGTAAGGAGTTTAGAACCAGATATTTCGATCATGGAGAGAGTTGGAAATTCTGGGAGGTGAAGATTCCCATCCCAAAGGGTCATCAGGATTCCATGTGCCTCCCCGCAGCCCCCCACCCTAGGCCACTCTAGCCCCGAGCTCACCTTCACAATCAGGGCACCTAAATAGTTTTGTTTATTTAAAAAGATTCCTTGGAGGGGGTCCTGGGTAGGGAGAGTAATAACCCTTTTTCACACTCAGCTCTGGCAAGCATTCTGGGAAGCTAAGCCCCCCTTCACACCCACACACCCCACTGGGGTGCACCTCACATGGAGGCCAGAGCTGTTTCAGAGCTCGGAGTACTCGCCCCCGCTGCTGCTGACAGGGCTAGGGCACCCTGAGGTGAGGGTACAGAGATGGCCCCCAGTCTGGGGGTGGCCCCTGGATCTCCATGCAGCAGGGGGGGGGCAGCCCCAGCCTCTAGAGCTTATCTGGCAGGACCTGCAGGCAGAGGGGAAGCCAGGCTTAGCAAGAAGCCTGGGAGGGGCCAGGACCACAGAGCAAATGAGGCCCCAGCCCAGGTCCTGGGCCCACCACTTTCAGCTAGGTGCCCTCAGCAGGCCGCTGCCCAGAGCTCTCTGGGCCCTGGTTTTCCTATCTGAGAAGTAATATCTATCCATCCCATGGGTTGTCCTGCAGGTAACACACTTGGCACAGGGCCAGTATGCAGTAGGTGCTCATACATGCCCCGCAGGTGGCTATGTGCATTCATTCCTGAGGACGATATTCCCCTCTGAACATTTTGAAGGGGTCTGGGTGTTCTTCCTTGGCTAAAGGCCACAGGGGCAGGCACACAGTAGGTGTTAGGTAAATGCTGTAAATGCTGGAGGAAAGACTTGACCTCAGCAACTCTAAGGCTGAGGATGGAGAGCCCGCGGCCCGTGGTCACCAGGAGGGCCCTTGTCCCGCGGCCTGCCCACCCACCTGGGCTGCCCCTTACCTCTCGCCGCGCCCCGTCTGCCCGAGGACAAGATCCCCTCGTCCTGTGCTTGGAAGGAAGGAGGCAGTGTCTGAGGGCTGCGGCCCCACCTCCCATCCCCTTTGCCCCCTGGCCCCGCGCCTCCACCCCTCTCCCGGGGGTCCCATTTCCCTACCTGGTTGCGGGTCTTATGTGACTTCTGCATCCAGGCTCGCCACTGGTCATAGAGGCGGAAGCTGAGGTTCGAGCAGTACGCGTGCTTCTTGAGCCAGCCCAGAAACTGCTTGAGCTCGCGCCGCACCGGCCCCGAGCTCGGCTCGCCACCCCGCGGCTCGCAAGCCCCGCCGCCCGGGCCCGGGCGCTCTAATGGGGGCGGAGCGGCAGCGTCAGGGCGCGGCCAGCAGAGGGCGCGCGCGGGCAGGAGAGGGAGGTCCCCTCGCGCGGCAGGACCGCGTTCACCTTGGGGACCCTCCCCCCCCGCCGCCCGTCCCTGTTTCAAGGCGACCCGGTCCGCCCCACGGCCCGGCCCAGCACTGCAGCCCAGCTGCGCCCCCAAGGAGACAGGGGGCAGGGGGAGGAAGGGGGTCCTCCTCCACATCTCCAGGCACCCGATTCTCGCGGCCTGAGCCAGGTGTGAGTGAAAGCGGGGGAGTGGGGAGGAGAAGGGCCAGGGCCAGAGGGATAAGCCGCAACGGAGCAGGGGGCAGGGGAAGGGAGAGAGAGACACTGATGGGAAAGCTGGAGAGCGCAAGGCAGACATTAAGAGCTGGAGGCTAGGAGAGACAGATACAGGGGGACGGCCAAGGAGATGCAGAGGGTGGAGAGATGGAGAGGGAGCCAGAACAGGAAGGGACAGAGACGCTGGGGACGTAGGGACGCAGAAACCAAAAAAGGCAGAAAGACAGACACAGGGAAAGAGAGTGAGTGACAGAGAGATGAAAGGAGGCTGGCAATCCGAAGTGACTCTGCGGGGAGGGACAGTCCCCAGGACAGGCCTGAGAGTACAGCCGGATGGATGGGGAGTGGGCCAGGAGGGCCAGGTGGGAGGCCGGCCTGACCATCCAGCCGCCAGCCACCGCCAGCCCTGAGCAGCCTGAGCGGGCCGGCGGATAAGGACATCGGCCTCACGTCATAAATAATGCCGGGGACCCGCTGACAGGCCCTGGCACAGCCCCGGCCCCCACTGCCCCTGGCGGCCTCCCCTGGCCTCCCCCAGCCTCCCCAGCGGACGCAGCCGCCTGCTGGCTCCCGTGCAAGAATCGCAGGTGCTGGGCACGAGCAGGGGCCAAGGCTCAAGCCCCTCCTGGCTGTGCTAGTTCCCGCCCATCCCTGAACCTGGAGGGGCCCAGGATGGGGGCTGGGGAACTAGCTGGAGCCTTGGTCTGCCATTCCCTGACTCTGAGACCCTCTCTGGGCCTTGGTTTCCCCATCATTCCAAGGGCGTGAGCCTGGACTTGGAGGGAACTGCGTTCAGATCCTTGTGTGACTCTGGGTGGCTGGCTGCACCTCTTGGGGGCTTGGGGTCCTTGTCTGAGGAAAGGGGGCCTCCCTTGGGTGAAACCATGGTGGGGAGCAGGCGATAGGAGCCTCAGTAACTATTACTTGCAAACACTTGGGTGGCACCCACCATGAGGGCACTTTCCATGGGTTATCTCTCATCTAACCCTCACAATGGCCTGAGGCAGGCATGACTGTCATCCCTACTTTCCAGATGGGAAAGCTGAGGCCAGACATACCAAGTAAGATTTCATACCATTTCACAAAGGAGAGAAGATGGCAAAGGGAATCAGACCCAGGCCTCTGATCATCCCATCCTGCTACCTTGATCTGAAGGGGAAACCAAAGCCTGTTGTAGGGAGAGTTGGCAGCCCATGGTCTTAGAGAAGCAAAGGTCTCATATTCACTTGCCCTTAGGGGCTAGGGAAGGGGTATACGTGGGTGCAATGGGCCAAGTGGGGATAGCGCAACCAAAAGAGCAAGGGCCATGACTTGAGGGGCAGCCTCTGCTGATAGGGGCTGTGGAGTAATTCTGTGTCCTGTTACATTTTCTAGACAATTTATTTCTAGGGAATCTAGGGTATTTGGGTAAAACTTACTGTTTTTAAAAGTCTGCAAGTAGTTCAAACTTTTTTTTCCCCAAATGACAGGCTAAGAAAATAAATTCAAGGGCCACAATTGGCCCCCGGGGGCCAAGAGTTTGAGACCTCAACTCTCCCGAAGGAAATAAGGAAACAGAGGCTCAGGCTGTTTTGGTGCTGGTCCCAGGCCCACCCAGCCCCGCTGGGGTGCTCACCACTTCGGGGGGTGGAGGCGGCCGTGGGGTGGCTCCATTCGCTCCAGATCCCAGCCTTCTTGGAGCCGTAGATGCCAAAGGGGTTGCAGCGCACTTGCACGAAGTAGACGGTGCCGGGCTTCAGGCCTGCCAGGCGGCAGGAGGTCTGGTTGCTCACATCGTCCACCACCTGGGCGGCCAGCGTAGGGTCAGAGGCGGGGCGTGCGGCGGGGGATGGGAGGAGGGCGGAGCGGACCTGGGGGGCGGGGCCAGGCACCTTCCAGTCCACGCTGTCCTCCACTCGGTAGCGGATCTGGTACTTGGCTTGGAAGAGGAAGTCCTTGAGGGCAGGCGGTGAAACCCAGCGCACACTCAGCTGGTCCTCCAGGCCCCCTACGCGGCTCACGTGCACGTCCGGCGGGGGGTCGGTGGTCACTATGGGGGCAGGGCGGGCCTTCGTCATCAGGATCTCTGGACCTGGCTGGCACCCTCTGGGTCCAAGTACCAGAGCACGTGGCTTAGATGGCACCTGCTTCCGTTCTCCTCCCTCCCCCAACTTGGGACGGGTGGATTATATTAGATAATATTCGGGTAACACTCAGCACCTAGAAGCACTCAATTAATGTTAGCTGTTATCACCACAATTATCTGTGACAGGAGAAACATAATCCTATCTTCAGGGAACTATGTAAAAAGCAGACACTGCCTGGATGATGATATTATTATTATTATTCCCAGAAGTGCAGGGGGCCCTTAGGCTGCCAGACCCCTGGGAAGCTCCCCTTGACACACCCCCTCCACTGCCTACCTCCTGCTCCTTCCGGCTTCACAAAGGTCCTCAATGTGACTGCTATGCTAGGGGCAAAGGGACACTGGGACATGCCTGCAGCAGCTTCAGGAATTGAGGAAACAAAGTGGGAAGCAAGAGGAGGGACTTGCTGCAAGCCTTCCAAGGATACTTCTGGGAGTCCTTTGGGCTGCAAGGAGGGCTGGCCTCTTCCCCTGAGGCCTTGGTGAGGGGCCGAAAGGGTTAAGGCACAGGCCTGCTCGGGGCTGAGAAACACCCTAATTAGATTAGGCCCAATTCTGCTCGCGGATCATCCACTTCCTGCCTCCTGCCTGCACCCCCTCTCAGCTCCAGGCTGCGGCTTCCTGGGGCGCCTCCCGACCTGGGCGCCCCCTCCCAGCTCCCTGGGGCCCTCTCCCCGCACACCTGGGCTGCTGGTGGGGGAAGCAGCCAGGCCAGGTGTTCTCCACAGAGTAGGGGTATCCTGGCTGCTGCAGGGGGCTGGGGACCAGTGGGTGGATGCCTCGCTCCTCCCATCCCCAACCAGCCTGGTCCATGAGACCCTCAGCTGAGCTGCAGCCATGGCTGGGCCGGTGTGTGTGGGGGGAGGGCTGGAGGTGAGGATTGCAGGTGGGCCACGCTGGCCTTGGTGGGGGGCAGGGCTCACCCACATCCAGAATGTCCAGTGTCAGCACATCAGAGCGGGCTGAGCCCAGCCGGTTGGTGGCCTCCACCCAGATCTCATAGGGTGTAAAGAGAGCCAGGTCCTTGGGGATGTGGCAGGAATGAGGTCCCACTGTGTGGTACTCCTCACACGTGTTGTCCTGCCCGTACCACCTGCAGGGACAGGCGGGGAGGAGGACACGTGAGGGGCCCCCCAGACCTCCCCATCCCAGCCCAGAAGTGCAGACAGGACCCCGGAGCTCAGAGAAGGCGGCCCAGGCCACACAGCTGGCTGGGACACGTCACCCAAGGGCCACCACCAACCTCAGCTTGTACTTGAGGGAGTAGTTGGTGTGGAGGAAGGTTTCCCCGTGGGCCCCCGGCGTCCAGCGGCATGTCAGGTCCTTCATGTTCTTGGACCAGCAGCTGATGTTGAAGGGTTTCTCTGGGGGGACTGGGGAAGCGGATATGGGGGCTGAGGTCTGGGCTGGCCACGGACAGGGGGAAGGAGGACTTGTTGGCTGCCAGCCAGGGCCCCCCCCCCTTGGAGCAGAAGGAGGATGGACAGAGTGGACGTGGGCAGTACCACCTGCCCAGCTCTCTTGAGGATGGTGTATGGGAGCCTCCAGGATCTCATGCCCACCCTGGGGGCCCATGCCCCTCAACTTGTGCCAGTATACCCACTGTTCAGCCCAAGACCAGAGGGCCCATGAATCACACCCCTCTCCAGAGGGAGATGCTGCCCCCAAGATCTGCCCCTGGGTTGTCCACTTACGGCCTACATAGAGGCAGGAGCCGGCCAGGATGCTGCCGTCGCGGGCATGGCACACAAGGTTGTCCCCTGACTGCTGCCTGGATCCATTGAGGTTGGCCAGGGCGAGGGCCATAGTGGAGGCGTTGAGCATTCGGGAGAGCTCGGGCGGCAGGCGGCGCCCGTTGAGGGTCCAGTAGAGGCCCTCGGCGGTGGCCCCCGGGCTGTCCCCATGCACTGAGCACGTGGCCTGCAGGGAGGAGCCGATGAGGAGCGTGGGGTCCTGGGGACTGATCACAGCCGTGTCTGGGGTCAGAGAGGAGCACCGGTCAGGGCTAGGATGGAGCTGCCCTCGGCCTTCTGCCATCCTCGGACCTCCCAGGCACATGGCAGTCCTGCAGAGGAGCTGTTTATGACTGTGGCCCATTTTACAGAGAAGGAAACTGAGGCTCAGTCAGGTCAAGTGACCAACCCAAGATTGGTGGCAAAGCTGAGATTCAGCCCCAGGGCTGTCTGATTCCACAACTCGGTCCTTCCAAGCCAGTTCCTCACTGACTTGCTCAGGGCTTTTTCCGATTGGTGACAAACCTCATTCCGATCCAAGGAACTCTTACTTTGCACACACTTCTGACAACCACTGCACTCTGCTTTTTTTTTTCTTTTAAATTTCATTTCATTTTTTGACAACTAGAAATAACAGATTGTGTGTTCTTTCTTTGATGTCCCTCAGAACCTCACACATAGTAGATGTCTCTAGGGGGAGGAAAGCACTTCTAAAAAGAGGTGCCCTACTAGAATCCTGCTGATTTTATGGATGAAAAAAACAAGGCTCTGAGAGATGAAGGCCCTTGCCTTCGGTCACCAAATAGAAGGTGGGCACACTACACCTGTATTCATCAGTCTCTAAAGTTCTACTCTGTACTGCAACCAGAACTGAAGGGGACTGTGGCAAGCTCTATGCTCCCAACCCTCATCCAAAAGGTCTGGCCATCATCATCATCCTTCCCCTCAACTCAGTTTTCCTAATCTGCAAAATGGGAACAAGAAAGCTCACAGTCCTCAGGGCCATTGGAAAGATCAGATGGGAAGTGACTTCCTAAACTGGGTTGTGTGTGAGCTGGGTTCTGAGCACAGGAACCTCGGGGAGGCCATGGTTGGTGCCTTTCCTCCCGACTGCCACTGGGGCAGCCCATGGCTTCTTCTGAAGATTAGAATCTAACGGGAAACTGTCTTTATCCAGGAGGAAATCAAGGCACAGAACAGGGAGAAGGGTGCCCAATTCAAGTCCTAGATGTCGTTCTAAGCCTCAGTCTCCCCATCTGGGAAATGGCCATCATGGTATTCACCACATGGGGTTGTTTGATAAGAGGGGAAGTTTTGTTTTAAGGACAACTCTGTGGGACTTTCAAGCCAGGCTGACCTGATTTCGAATGCCCTTAGCTCACCCTGGAAGTTGACCCAGTTCCTTTATGTCTCTGAACCTTTGAGAAAGTTTCTCTCTCTCCACCAAGAGTGGTTATAAGGATTCATTTGTTCATTCATTAATTCAAGGAGCACCTACAATGTGTTATGACCTGAGGGCACAATGGTAACCAAGATACTCAAAATTCATGCCCTTGTGGGATTTGAATCCAAGGGAGCAGCAGGAAAAAGCAGAAATATCTAAGAGAAGAGACAAGGGAGAAAATAAAGCACAAATCAATGGTGGCAGCTAACTGATCCAAGAGGCCTGTCTGGGGAGGTGGCATTTGACCTGAGATGTGAACAAAATGAGTTAGTCACTCAGTCATATCTGACTCTTTGTGACCCCATGGACTGTACCCCACCAGGCTCCTCTGTCCATGGAATTCTCCAGGCAAGAATACTGGAGTGGGCTGCCATCCCCTTCTCCAGGGGATCTTCCTGACCCAGGGATCACACCCGGGTCTCCTGCATTGCAGGCAGATGCTTTACTGTCTGAGCCCCCAGGGAAGTGCATGAAATGAAAGAAGCAGCCTTGAAAATACATAGAAGAGGGTGTTCAGGCAGTGGAGTAGCAAGTGCAAAGATCCAGGGGCACAGGTGGTAGGCAATGAGGTCAGCAGGGGCCAGACCTTCAGAGAGGAATCATTCCAGAGTTGAGCAGGGGAGGGATTTTTATTTTAAAAGGATTGCAGGGCAGCTGTAAGAGGGGACTGCAGGGGGGCAGAGGGGCGGCGGGGGGGGGAGGAGGACAGGGCGATCCCAGTCCCCTTGTAGGCCTCCTCCGTTCCTGTGGCTGCCCTGTGCTGGCCCCCACGGCCCCATATGGGTGAGATGGGGTGGACACAGTTCCGGGGCCGGCCCTGATGACTTTCCCGGGCAAACTTGGCCTGGAGGGCCAGGTCTTGCTAGAGCCTGGGATCGCAGTTGCGTTTGGGGCTTGGCCCAGGGCTCGCCGGAGGTCTCAGCGTCCGTGCGAAGGAGCCGGCTGAGCGGGCCAGAGCCGAGGAGGCGGGGGCGGCCGGGGGCGGGGGGCCAGGGGGCCGCCCCGGAGGTCCCAGGCAGCCAGCCGCCCGCTAATTCGGAATTCCTTCGGCATGAACTCGGGCGTGCCAGTGTCTCTGCCCCGGCCCACCCACCGCTTCCTGCCTGGCCCCCCCACCCCCCAGCAGGGTGGGAGGCACAGCCAGGCCTGCCCAGACCCCAGGCCCATCCTCAACCCTCAGGGGTGGGGTGGGTCCCGCCCCTCCTGTCCCCCACCCACCACCACAGCCAGGCCAGGAAGGGGGCGCTCTGGGGGGTCCTGGCTGGAGGCGGGGGCAATGCCCCTCTGCCCCACCCGCCTGGCCTGGGCTGGTGTGACCTGCCTGCCAGCAGCTGCAGCTGCCCTCCCGGGGCTGGGCGGGGGACGGGGCGAGAGGGCAAGGCCAGGCGGGATTGGACAAGCCGGTCCCCCGACCCAAGCTCCAGCAGGAAAGATCACGGGGAGGCCTTCTCCTCCTGAGGATGTGGGTGCCCATCTCAGCTGAAGCACCTGGGCAATTGGCTTCCTTTCTCCTGTTCTCAGTTTCCTCCTCCATAAAATAGGAGGAAAATCCATTCTACCTGCTGGGGAGATGAATGAGATGAGCTCATGATGTCCAGAGGGCCCAACACAGTGAAGTGCCGAGGAACTGTTGGGATTAGGGCCCCTCCCAACTCTGGGTCCTGGCAGGCTGGTGCTCTCTCCACGAACAAAGCGCCAAGGCATTCAGCAGAACTGGGATGCATACATTCCAGCCCAGGCAGAGCAGCTGGGGACAGTCCACTGAGGTTGGGGGGGGGGGCTTGGCCTGGTTTGGGGGCTTCCTAGAAGGCTCCCCAAGCAGATCCCTGGGCTAGGCTTTTGGACAGACCCCCCCCACCCCATCCCCGTCCCATGCTCCCTGCCTCCCCGCCCTTTCCCGCAGAGCTGGGGCCTTTAAAAGTTTTTTCCTCTCCCCCTTCCCAATCTGGAGCCACTGCCGTTATTAAAAAGGAACACCATGTGTTTTAAAAGCGAAAAGTGTGAGATTCTCTGCAAGCAAGGCAGGAGGGTGGCCTCCATCCTGGGGTCCCCATCTCCTGTCCTGCTGGTACCTGCAGACACTTTACGACCTGCTCGCCTGCTGGTCAGGTGCTAAGACACACCGTAAGTAGAAACATATTGCCGAGGTGTGAGAATCTTTTATTTAATTTCTTCCCCCTTAAAGGAAAAAACACACGCACAACAATCCCACCACACCTTTGCTTGTTGCTCTGCTGGCTGGAAAACAAAGCCTGCCACTAAAGGTGGCAGTCACGACTGCTGCCCACTGCCTGGCAGAGCTGTCAGGAATCCGAGGAGGGCCTTGGGGCAGCCCCTCACCTGTCCGGGAGCCTTGGGCATGCTAGGCTTTCAGCAAGTGCCCCCAGGACCCGGGACCCCGAGCCTTCTGGAGGAGCACCGCAGGGAGCCTGTAAACTGCTCTGTGCAGTGTAGGTCCGCCAGGGGAGCAGTATGTGCTCCTGCTGGCCGACCTGCGTGCCTGGATGGGGCCCTCGGGGTGACTGTGAACACCCAGGGCAGGCTGTGCCTGCCTGTGTGCCCCGCGTTGCCTCCCCCTTGGAAAGAGTGTGTGACCATGAATGTGTGTGTGTCAGGGATGGAATGTGTGTGTGCGCGCCCCGATGGTGTGAGAATGTGCATCTGGGATGCAGTGTGCACGCATCCGAGGGCGAGGGTGACGGGCCACAAGCCAGTGTGAGTCTTTGTGTGTCTCTGGGTGTGTCCCAGAGTGGGTCTGGATGTGGAGATGGTGTCCTGGCGGGGGTGTGCATCGGGTGGGGGCCCGGAGAGTGCCGGAGGCCAGGAGCTCCCAACAGGGTGGGGGGTCTCTCGGCCTGCGGGGGCCGGGGGCTGCCGGTGACTGCCCACCCCCACATACCCAGGCTGGGCCCACGGTGCCCGGACTCGCTGGCTCCCGCTCCCTCTCCCTCTCACCCACTCTCTCACAAAGATTTCTCTTGCTGGAATCTCCTAGTCCGGCTCAGCGTGGCCGGGAACTGTTCTAAACGCCGCCAGTGGCGGGGACTCCGTAGAACCCCGCGCGCGGGGTCCCGCCGGGGGAGGGCGGCGGCGCCGGCCCGCGGAGAGGCGCGTCCCCGGGGACCCCGGGCCGCGCGCCAGGCGGCCAGAGCGGCCCCCTCCCGCCCCGCCTTCCTCACGGGGCTCATCCCTCCACCCGGGGGGGCCCCGCTCAGGGCCGGCACCCAGCGCGCCTACTGCGTGCGCCCCCGCCCGGGTGCGGTGACCCTCAGTCTCCGCGACCCCAAGTCAGCAGACGCTGTCGCGTGCGCCCCCCGCGTCCCGGCGTGCAGAGGGTCCCAGGCCGCCGCCCCTCACCCCCTGGGGCCGAGTCGGGCGTCCTCCACAGGGCAGCCCAGGTAAGAAGGCCTCAGTATCGGAAGCCGGACCCTCGGGCCAGGGAACTTCGGCGCTGTGCGCCCCACAGGTGAGGGCGCCCCGAGGGCCGCTCCGGGGGCGCCTTCCTTTGTTCCCGGGCCGTCCAGGTGGCGCCCGCGCCCCCTCCCCCCCACGGTTGCCCCCGGGGCGCACGCTCTCGGCCCAGGCGGGAAGGAGGGAGCACGGCGCCGTGTACTCACCGGCTCCTGATCCCGCTCGCGGCGCCCCGAGGACGCAGAGCAGCAGTAGGGGCAGCAGCGGCGGCGGCGGCCGCCGCGCGGATTGGGCGGCGGGGCCCGGGCGGCCGGCGGGCATGGGGCCGGCGCTGCCGGGGGCGCGCAGCGGGCGGCGGCGAGGGGCGCGGGGCGCAGGCCGGGCGCAGGAGGGCGCGGGCCAAGCAGCCCGCACGTCGCTGGGCGCGGGCGCGGAGGCCAGAGCAAGTCTGAGCAGCCGAATTGACAAGGCGCTAATGCGCCGCTGGCCCCGCCCGGCCCCGCCCCCGGGCCGGCCCCGGGGGGGCGGCGGGCCCCGCACCGGCCTCCCCGCCGCCCGCCCGCCCGCCCGCCCGCCGGAGGGCACCGCGAGCCCCACCCGTCCGGCGTCCGCCCCGCCGCGCACCGCACACGCCGTTTTTCCCGCGGCCCCAAATCCCCCAACTCTACCCTTACCGACCTGGGACCTCCCTTTCCGACCCTGCCAGCTCCAGGCTCCCTACCCCCAGTCTGGGACCTGGCGGCCCCCAGTCGCGTCTCCGTACCCCCGCCCACTTCCCCGCACCCAGCCCTCAGCCGCGTGCCCCTTCAACGTCGCCTGCAGCCCCGAGCCCCGGTCCGCTCCTCCCCACCCCCATCCTCCGTCCCGGCCCCCACCCCAGCTCTGGCCCCGCCCCCCACCGAGAGGTCCCTGAGCCCCGCCTGCTCCCATCTCCAGCCCCTTTCCTCCCCGGGGGCCTAAGAGTCGCCCTCCGTCCTGCCCCACGCCCTCGGCGCGCGGGTCCCACAGGTTTTGGCCCAGCGCTCCCCCTCCCATTTCATCCCGCCTCTTCTGGTGCTCCGCGCGCGCAGCCTCGGCCCGAGGCTTTGCTGGAAGACCGAGCAAAAGTTGCAAGGCTTGGAGTCCCCGGACCTCGCCCAGGCTCAGCTGTCCCCCTCGAGCGGGTCCGAGCCGGGATTCTGTGGGGGCGCCCGGGGGCCTCGGGAGGGAATTCTCGCGTGGGCAAGAGGGGAGAAATGGGCCCCGTGGGAAAGGAGACGGGGGCCTGCGCGGGTCCCGTGTGCGGGGCAGGAGGGATCCCCCAGGAGGAGAGCGGTAAGCAGGCCCTCCCCCGACTCGCTAACACCCCCCCCCACGGAAAAATCCGCTCAGCGGCCCGCGGGTGGGGTGCGCCACGCAGTGAGTAATCGCTGGGGCGGCCGCCGCCCGCCGACTCCAGGTAACGCCGGCTGCCCCGAGCGACGCATAGTTTGTCTTCCTTTTTTTGCGCAGGGATCCTTCTCCGTGTTATTATTTTTGGCCACTGCTTGGGTTTCGGGACCCCTCCCGGCCCCGTTGCCTCACCCTCCTTCTCTCGGTCCTCACCCGATTCGGGCGCCCACAATAAAAGGGTTCCTGGACTCCAAGGCCCCAGGGGAGGGGGGGAGCTTGAAATGAGAGTTCCGGGGCTGCCTCCAGCCCAGTCTTCGGAGCCGCAGCCCCGCCCACAGCCATGTGCCCTCAGAGAAGAAGGGCTCTATCTCCCCCTTCAGGGGTTCCCTTAGAGACCTGGACCTTCCCTCTAGCCAAGGGGGTAAAAGTGTCTGAGGAGGGCTCAGGAGTGCCCGCCTCGTTTGCCTAAGGCGGCCCTCCACCACCCCTGGTAAGTAGCCTGAGGTCCCCAACTCAGACCTCAGACTATCAAACAAGAGGATTGAAGGACTGGAGTCCTGGGTGTGCCCCCAACCCCCAACCCCAATCTGGACTCTGGATGAGTTTGTGAAGGAGAGAGCTGAGCCCTGGCATGGGGCACTGTCATTTCCTGGGGAAAATCAGGCCCCTTTGCCTCGGTTTCCTCCTCAGCACCGTGGGGGACTCCTAGCCAGCCCACACGTTTCTGTGGGAAGTTGCAATGTAGCAGAAGCCTCCACAGTCTAAACACTTGCGATAGTGCCTGGCACTGGGGACACTTTCTTTTGGAGTCCCAGTGTGTCTGTCACCTCTGAAAAATGGGGCCACAGTCCCACCTGCCAGAGAATTCAGTGAAGGTGGCCGTTCTTGGCTGGAATTGTGTTTTCAGGATATATCCCAACCCTCCACCATAACCTCGGTTCAGCAACGTTTGTCCTCCCACCTGGAGGACTTCAGCCTTCTGGAGAAAAAAAATCTCAGATTCCCTCAATCCCTTCTCTGCTCCTCCCCACCCCCACCCCAGTCATTCCCAGTCTTGGAGAAAAGGCTCCCCCATCCACCCAGGTGCTCAGGCCAGAGACCTGGAGGTGCGCATGACAACTCTCTCCTTTGCTCATCTCCCACGTCCAATTCATCAGCAAATCCTGCTGGCTCTGATTCCAAAACGCATCCCCATTCTGAGGTTCGGACCTCTTTTCTCCACCCCATCCGGGTCCAGGCCCCACCGTCTCCATCTGGGATGCTGCCCAGCCTCCTAGGATTCCCGGGTAAACCCTCCTGCCCTTGTCTGTACATTAGGAAGAAGGAGCTTTTTTTTTTTTTTTTAAATTTTTTTTTCAGCTGCTTCTCTTCTCTCTGACCAAGAAGGAGCTTTTAAAAGAAGCAAAGCAGGTCTTCTCTGTCCTGCCACCCTCTCCCCACTCCTTTTCTCCTCTCTCCTCATTCTCTTCCTTCCTCTCCCTCACGCTGCTCCAGCCCCAAGGCTTGTACGTTTGCTGTTCCCCTCTGCGGGGATGCAGTTCCCCCCAATTCTTCCCCCATAACTAACGCACCTTCTTTTCTGTCAGGTCACAGGTCAAGTTTTCTCAGAGGGGGCCCCCCAACCTTTCCAGGCACTCTCTGTCCCCTTCCTCTTTTAAAATTATCTTTGTAACACAGTTCTTCAAACATCATCTTCTCTTGAGACATTTTCTTTACACTGCGGGCATCCAGAGAGCCATTAGGATGCCATTCTGGGCCCAGGGAGGGCCATGGGAGAAGAGCTCGGTGAACAATTGCAAAAACGAAAGGATGGCGGTGGAGGTGGGAGGATATTACAAAAGAAAAAAGAAGAAAAGGAGAAAGAAAGAAAAAGAAAGGATGGAGAATTCTGAGTCCCTTGGAGTAGCAAGAAAACTCAGTCCCAGTGAGTCATGCTGTCTTGGGTCCCAGCCAGGCCCTGGATTTGCTCTGTGACCCAACCTGGTAGCCACTCCTCTCTGGTCCTTAACCTGTAGAAGGGTATGCACTGTTGGCTCAGTCCCTCCCTGGAGCATGCCCTCTGCCCTCAGGGTGACCTTAACCTCATACCTTTGACCTTCTAAGGAAAGTGATTTGACCTCTAGGTGCGTCCTTCCCTGCCCTTGGTTCTCCAGGCGGCTTAACCCTTTCTTCATCAGTCCCGCCACCTCTTTGTGCAGGAAGGGGAACCAGCTCTGGTGGAACTTCTGGCAAATATTGACCCAAGTCCTCGAAGGTGGCTGGGAATGTACTGAGGTGGCAGAGGGAGGGAGGGCCCCCGGGGGAGGGGCTCCTCCTTAGTCTTTGCATTTAATTACGTTGGGGGAGACCCTCCAGCCCAGCTCCCTGACGAATTCCAGGGCACTGAGGGGCCCTTGGGAATGGGCAGTGGTAACAGCACCTTCAGAGTCCCCTAGGGAGTGAGGAGGGCATAGAGCTGCCTTTCCCATGCTGAGACCCACATGGTCAGGGCCCCTCAGTATGGGATTAGCTGTCTTGCGTTCCAGGCCAGTGTTCCCAGGGAGCAGGGACAGTGAGGGTCTAGCCTGGATGTGGGCTTGGAGCAGCAGAACCCAAGTTCCAGACCTGTATGCAGGAGAAGGTGGGGCTTTATCATTTCCACCCTGGAGGTTCAGCTGGAGGAGCTTGGATTTCCGGCTCCCAAGCTTTGTGCAGTATGTAATTTATAAACCCAGACCCCATAGGCATTGGAAGTGAGATCTTAGGAGTACAGAGCTGCCTATGTCCAAATCAGGACCAGGGTTCACCCGGCCTGGGAGGTCTGGGTTCCCTGCCCTCCGCATTCTGGAGAACCTCCGATGTCTGGGTTCCAGGAGGCGCCAGCTCTGTTGGGGGTGATAGTTGTGCTCCTTCCCCTCCCCCCACCCACTGTCAGCAAGTCCCCGGCGCCACGGTGCCCTGCTAGCTCCCCAGGCTGTACCCGGCTTGGGGGTGGGGGTCAGCGGGGTCGTGGTGAGGGCGGCAAGGGACAAAGGGTGCTTGTCCGATGTCCGCCCTGACCTCGGCCGCCGCTTCTCGGACGCCTGGCCCGCCTCTGATTCACGCCCAGGCCGGCCGCAGCGACTCCCCGCTAGCCGCCCCGGCCGGGCCGCCCCGGGGGGTAGGAAGTGGGGGGGGCGGTGGCGAGGGGCGGCGCCGAGTCAACTTTCCCTCTTAAGCCCCGAAGGAATGTCGGCGGATTTCCTGAAACCCGACCCCGGCCGCCCGCCGGCCCTCCCGCCCCTCACCTGGACCAGCTCCCCCGGGAAAGGCAGGAGGGGCGCGGGGGCTCACCTGGGGGGCCGGGGTCAAGTCCTCCTTCCGCTCCCGCCCCAGGCGGCCTTTTGCAGCGGAAAAGGGGGTGAGTAGGAGGCAATTAAACCTTCGTACTCTTCTGCGGTGACCTAGGCCAGCGTCCCAACTCCTCCAGCCTCAGTTTCCCCTTCTACTTTACACACGGCGCGGGTGTCCTTCCTTTCCGTAGAGCCATAAGAGACGCTCTAAAGCCGGATTACTCTGACGCCCCACCTCCCAGTATTGGCCGGGGTCTGCCCACCTCTCTTTGATTTTTTCGCTTGTCACCTGGGCCGACCCCCTTTGACCATCTGATCCTCAGCTTCCTCATTTGTAAATTGGATAACGCTACCAGTTCTTCTTTATAGGGTTGTTGCAAGAAAATACTGCGGAAGTGTTTAGTTTGGAATGAATGAATAACAGTAATTGTGGAAGGCTTCAGCGCGCGGGGCTCTGGAATTGACATGTGTGGGCTTGAATCCTGGCTCTGCGGAGGGGTCCTGGGGACTAAGTTTCCCACCTGTGAAACGGGGGACAGTATTGGTCAGAACCGTTGGCTGTTCCCCAAGGCGCAGGCCTGGCGCGCGGTGGGCTAAACGCGGGGTTCCCTGGCTCTCGCACAAACCGCAGGCTGGAGGCCCTAGCCGCAGGGTCGCGGCGGCCTAGCCCGGGAGGGGCGGGGCGGGGGAGGGGCCGCCCGGGGATCCAGATGTTCAGGGTCCGCCAGGCACAGCCGCGCCTGATTAAGCCACGTGGGGGCTGGCTGAGGCCGCGGAGATGAAAGCGCGGCGGCCGGCCCGGGAAGGGAGGGTGCGCTGGTCCCCCCACCCCGGCCCCTCCTCCTCGGCCGGAACCTGCGGCGCCCTCTGACCCGCCAACCCCGTGTGGCTGCCGCTGCGTCTGCTGGGGCGGAGAGTGGACAGAGGATGCGCGGGCGGCAGGCACCTGCGCGCCGGGCACACCAGCGGGGGCGAGGGTGCCGCTTTTGCAGGATCTCAAACTTAGAGGGGCGTCCTCACTCACATGCCGGCCGAAGAAGAAGCTAGGGGGACCTCCGAGGTCAGGATTCATGGGGCTACCTTTTGTCACCTTGAAGTGCGGCAGTTATGAAAGCCAGAAGTATTCCTGTTTGTCCCATGTTTTCCCACAAGAATTAGAAATTTTAGCAGCACCCCATCGCCCTGGCTGTGCCCCCTCCTACTCAGCCCCAGGTCGAGGGGCTCCTAGTCTGGGAGAGCAGAGGCCAGACCCCCCCCCCCCCAGGTCTGCGGAACAGGGCTGGGCCAGAGAGAGGCGAAGCTGGGGGAACCCTGGAGAGACTTGGAGAGCTTCCTACGGAAGCCAAACTGCGCATAAATTACCGGCTCTCTGATTTGGGTATCAAAAGACATGAAGCTTCAGAAAGTCTTCTCTAACCCAGCTCTGCGACCCTCATGACCCTCCATCCCTACACTCTGGCTGGGTTCCAGCCAGCCCCACCGTCCTCCTATTTCCTTTTCCAGCAAGCTCGTCCGAACCTCGCTGTTCCCTCGGCGGCCTCCTCGAGTGGCCAGCTCGAAATACGCCTACTCTGGGGGGGCCTTCCCTGATTCCCAGGAGAATAGATCTCTTCTTCACGCTATCATCCTATTTGTTTCATTTTGGCCCCTAGCGATGACTGAGATCCCCTCGTCCGTGGGTACTGGCGAGGTGTCATGGGATCCCGACGTGGGACAGACGGCAGGGGCCACGATCCACCTGCCTCGCCCTGCCGGTATCCCGACGGTGCCGCAGCGCCGCGCCCCCGCCCGTTCTCCGCATCCCCCACCCCCCCTTCCCAGGCTGCCTCGCTCGGGTGACGTCAGCGACCCGGTCCCCGCCGCCGCCGCATCCTCCGCGCCCGCCAGGAGCCGGCGTCCCCCGCGCTCCTTGCGCTCGGCCTGGCCATGGATTCGGTCGCGCTGATGCCGCTCTTGCTGCTGCTGCTGCTGCAGCCTCCGCCCGCCACCCCCGCGCCACCTGTCCGCGACCCCTTCGCCCTGCAGCTTGGGGACACGCAGAACTGCCAGCTGCGGTGCCGAGACCGCTACCCTAAACCTCAGCCTGCTCAGGTGAAGCGCGCGCAGCGCCAGCAGGAGGACCGGAGAGCTCTCCAGTGGGGGATGGGTTGAGGATGCAGCTCCTTCCGTTGGGAGCGGGAGGCCAGGGTTCCTCGGAGGGAGAAGGGGTCAGGGAAGGGGGTTCTTCAATGGTGGTGGGCCCTTCTGATGGGGGAAGGGCTGGCGTTCCTTCGACGAGGGCGAGCGCAGAGATCAGGGATCCCTCCGATGAAGGTGGGGATGTGTCTCCCGCAGGGGAGGGGCCATGGGGTCCCTTTGACACGGGGCGGGGGTTTAGTGATGCCAGTCCTTCCGATGAATTCGGGGTTGCGGGAGTCCCTGCAAGCCGGAGGCCGGAGGGGACTGAGGCGTCTATTGCTACCCAACGGGTTCTGGCTCCCCTCTGCTGGGCCAGGGCCTTGGGGGAGCCCCACCCCCACCTCCCTCAGGCCGGACAATCCCCTTTTCCCCCTCTACTCAAGCATCTTCCCCCATCCTCTTCCCTACCCCCCTTAGACCTACCAGTTCCCACCCCGATCCTCACCACCCCTCCCCCAGTCAGATCCCAATTTTCCCAGGCCTGAAGGATGACAAAACCTCCTGAGTCCCCCTTCCTTCTTCAGGCCCAAGAACCCCTCCTCTGTGGAGGGTTTTTTTGGAGCGGGGGCAGTAGGGAGGGAAGATCATTGCCCTTCATCTTCTCCAGTTTTTCACCAGTACCCAAACCCAGCAGCATCCATTGTTTACTCTCCTCAAGCCGCCTCCCCCCATCCCTCTCTCCTCCTTGGAGCTAACATCCCCCACTAATATTCTTAGCCTCCTTATCAACCTCACCCCAAATCCCCTAGAAGATCTGGGGGGATCAAGTGTTCTACCTCCCTGAAATCTTCCTGCGCCGCTGGCCGACTCCTGCCCCTCCCCCTGCCTGAGCCCGCAGCTTCGCTTCCAGGAGGAGCTGGGGGAGGATCCCGTTCAATCCAGGAGAGCGAAGGCGTATGACAGGGCCGTCCTGACCAGCGCTTGCGAGCGAGGCTGCCGCCTCTTCTCCATCTGCCGATTCGTGGCCAGGAGCTCCAAGCCCAATGCCACCCAGGCTGAGTGTGAAGCAGGTGAGTGTTGGCTGGGTGGGCCAGGGCGGGGAGAGGTGGCCTGGGACGGACTGTCCCCCAGTTACCCCCTCCTGCCCCCTGCAGCCTGTGTGGAGGCCTATGTGAAGGAGACAGAGCAGCAGGCTTGCAGCGAGGGCTGCTGGAGTCAGAACCCAGAGCCGGAGCCTGAGCCTGAGCTGGAGCAGAAGGTGGGCGCCCTCCCACCTGTGGCCCCAGGCCTCCCCCGTCTCCTCTACTCCCCTCCCCAAATCTGCACTCATATCCACAGTCTCTCCCAGGCTCTCCATGCCATTCCGGGCCTCCCGGGTGTCCTGGATTAAGCCATATGACATCTCAAGACTCAATTGTCATCTCTGTGACATGGGAAGTCCTCCCTACCCCTCATCCCCTCCGTCTCTCCCATCCAAACTGCCACCATTTACATTATTTAGCAAGCTTTTGTCCTGGTCCAGGCCTAACCTCAGCTTGTCCCAAATTTCTTGTGCCTCCCAAGGCACCTGAGACAATGTTATCCCCATTTCATGCCCCCAGAGCAACTGGCCAAGGTCACCCAGCGCTGTGTGGAGGTGGGATTTAAAGCCAGTGCCACCAGGGCTTATGACCACTCCTCACCTCCCTCATCTTCAGAGCTGACTTCTGAGCACCTACATGTTAGCTCCTGGTCTAAGGCCTGTCCTTGTGATAAACAGGTGGTCAGAATGGAAGTGTAGGGAGGAGGAGCCTCCCAAGCACACATAGCTCCTCCTTCCCCACCCCAGGGAGAAATAATAACTGTACACTTATCATACTCCCTGAGTCTAGACAGTGCTGCATCAGGGGAAACCAAGGCACAGGAAATCCTTCATCCCAGTCAGAAACCCTCTGGCTGGGATTCCCCAGAAAGCCCTCTGCTCTCATCTCTCATTTTCCACCCTTCCCAGGCTTTCACTGTTCATAAAAGCCCTGTGCACCATCATTTCTTCCTATTCCATGTTCTCTCCTGATGCTGTTAAAATAAGAACAATGATGAGGGTAACATTTTTAATCATAGCAGCTACTATATATTAGGCACTTGTGCTTTTTGTGTGTATGTGACCCCATGGACTGTACAGTTCATGGAATTATCCAGGCCAGAATACTGGGGTGGGTAGCCTTTCCCTTCTCCAGGGGATCTTCCCAACCCAGGGATCAAACCCAGGTCTCCTGCATTGCAGGCAAATTCTTTACCAGCTGAGCCCCCAGGAAAGCCCAGGAATTCTGGAGTGGGTAGCCTATCCCTTCTCCAGCAGATCTTCCTGACTCAGGACTTGAACCAGGGTCTCCTGCATTGCAGGCGGAGTCTTTATCAACTGCGCTATCAGGGAAGCCCTTGTGCTATTGTTTAATTGAAATCTCATAGCAGTTCCCTGAAGGAAGAGCATCATTTCCCATTGTAGGGCTCAGAGAGGGCAATCTACTTTCCCAAGGGCACACAGTCAGTCAGCCAATGCAGTGCTGAGATCTCTGTTCATCATATGTAGCCCTGTTGCCCCAAACCACTTAGTGAATTTTGATCACAGTGAACTTTCCCAGCTCCCCTCCCACTTAACACGCCACACTGGTGACATTTCTGTGCCTTGGGCCTCCCCTTGGCAGAGAAAGGTCCTGGAAGCTCCGAGCGGAGCCCTCTCGCTCCTGGACTTGTTTTCCACCGTCTGCAATGACCTTGTCAGCTCGGCCCAGGGCTTCGTCTCCTCCACCTGGACATACTACCTGCAGACTGACAATGGGAAGGTGGTGGTGTTCCAGGTGAGGGCTCTGGCAGGGGCCACACCAGATAAGTGGTTGGGTGGTCAGGGTAAGGAGGTGGGATGAACTGCTTCTTGGCTCACGGGATGCAAAGTCTACAGGTCAGTAAGCTTCAAGCACAGCTGGATCCAGGGGTTCCATGTCTCACCCCACCCCTGGATTCTGCTGTCCTCTTCAGCAGCTTCATTCTCAGGCAAACATGTCCCTCCTCACAGCAAGGTGGATGCCTACGGCTCTAGATTACAACCTCTCTGAGGTTTTAACTAAGTTGATTGGCCCTGGTTGAGTCATGTGATGACCTCTCAGCCATTTCCTGTGATTTTATTGGCTAGTCCTGAATCACATCCCTATCTGAGGTGTTGGAGGATGGGGTCAAGGCAAATCAGGGTCCCACAATAGCAGGGAACAGTAACCCTGATATCACAGCCTGCAGCTGTGTCCTCTCTGTCCCCAGTGGAACTAGATGCCAGCTGGGCATGGGATAACGTAACCTACATGGGCGCAGAGAGGTGCCTGCTAGGGTCAGGGTGGTGCCTTTCTTAAGGGCTTCTCTGTGCTGTCTTGTTCCTGGCCCAGACCCAGCCTGTGGTAGAGAGCCTGGGGCATGAGGGAGCCCGTCTGCAGCGAGTGGAGGTGACCTGGCGGGGATCCCACCCTGAGGCTTTGGAGGTGCATGTTGGTAAGGTTCAGACTTAGACCAGTGTTCCTTCCAAAGGTGGCTCCTCTGTCACAAGGGGTTCTCCTGGCAAATGAGCCCTTGAGGATTGGTATTTCCATCTCTCAGTTCCTGGGGTTCCTTGATCCATCTCCCTGGGTTCCATGGTCCATCTCCCAGGGTTCCATGGTCCACTTCCCTTAGATCCATGGTCCATCTCCCAGGGTTCCATGGTCCACTTCCCTTAGATCCATGGTCCATCTCTCAGGGTTCCATAGTCCATCTCCCTTAGTTCCATGGTCCATCTCCCAGGGTCCATGGTTCATCTCCCAGAGTTCCATGGTCCATCTCCCAGGGTTCCATGGTTCATCTCCCAGAGTTCCATGGTCCATCTCCCAGGGTTCCATGGTTCATCTCCCTTAGTTCCATGGTCCCTCTCCCAGGGTTCCATGGTTCATCTCCCAGAGTTCCATGGTCCATCTCCCAGGGTTCCATGGTTCATCTCCCAGAGTTCCATGGTCCATCTCCCAGGGTTCCATGGTCCCTCTCCCTGGGTTCCATGGTCCCTCTCCCTGGGTTCCATGGTTCATCTCCCAGAGTTCCATGGTCCATCTCCCAGGGTTCCATGGTCCCTCTCCCAGGGTTCCATGGTCCCTCTCCCAGGGTTCCATGGTCCATCTCCCAGGGTTCCATGGTTCATCTCCCAGAGTTCCATGGTCCATCTCCCAGGGTTCCATGGTCCCTCTCCCTGGGTTCCATGGCCCATCTCCCAGAGTTCTGTGGTCCATCACCCTAGGTTCCATGGTCCACCTTTCAGGGTTCTGATTTATTCCAAGACCCCATGCCCCATTGCCTCAGGTCCTGGCCCCCTGTTCACCCTCCATGGCTGCTGTCACCTCTTGGCTAAGACCTGGAGGCTACTGAAAGGTGACTTGTTCTCTCAGACCCTGTGGGCCCCTTGGACAAGGTAAGGAAGGCCAAGATTCGAGTCAAGACCAGCAGCAAGGCAAAGGTGGAGTCCGATGAGCTGCAGGACAATGACTTCCTCAGCTGCATGTCCCGGTGAGCGGCGGAACCCTGGGGATGGTGTCGGGGTGGGGCCTGAGGCTGTCTGGTCCCACCAGGGCCCCTGAACATGCCTGCTGGGGGGCAGGCGCTCGGGGCTTCCTCGCTGGATCCTGGCCTGCTGCCTCTTCCTCTCTGTGCTGGTGATGCTGTGGCTGAGCTGCTCCACCCTGGTGACCGCGCCCGGCCAGCACCTCAAGTTCCAGGTGGGCAAAGATGGGAAGAAAACCGTTCCCTCATCTGGACAGGGCCACCCCCTTTCCCATGGAGATAGGGACCCTGACTTGCTACGTTACATTAAGCAAGTTTCTTCACTGTCATGAAATGAGAGGAACAACTCCCACCCTTAGTAGGGGCGACCTGAGATCTGGGGTGGGAAGGAGCCTTGCCAGGGTGGGGACTCATGGCCCTCTCTCGCTCTTCTTTCCCCTACAGCCCCTGACTCTGGAGCAGCACAAGGGTTATATGGTGGAGCCAGAGTGGTCCCTGTACCCTCCCCCGTCCCACGCCTATGCAGACAGCCCCCCGCCCTACAAGCTGAAACTGGACCTGACCAAGCTGTAGGCCTCCACTGCCAAGTTCAGGGGCTCTCGGGGTCTCACTTGTCCTTTGCCTAGGCGTCCAGGTCAAGGTGGGACCATCCTTGGGCTCCTCCCTCCCCCAAATTCTTCTCTCTCCAGCCCTGCCCCTCACCCCCTGGATTCTGGGAGTGCTGTGCCCCTGTTGGGGGTGGGATCTGACCTTGGTTCCTCCCTGTCCCCCTTCCCCAGAGCGTGTTACTTTTGTCTTCTATTCTGTAGCTTCTTGAGTATTTGAACCCCAGTTCTGTGCTGCCTTCCTCCTTCCTCCTCTCTCCCCTCTCTGGGGGGCTGAGGCCACAGGAGAGCCACTTTGTGCTAAGGCTCCCCCTTTTCTTCCCACCCCACCTCTGGAGACATAGCCCCATGAGAGGAGGCCCCCAAGAGAGGAGGCGGCGGGTGGCTCCATGCTGGGAGGGCGAATGAGGCTGGCTGCAACATGGGGGTCAAAAGGAATAAACCGTGCATATAAAAACCATCCTGGACTGAGCTTACTGCTGTCGGTCTTTCCGTCTGCCTCCTTGGGGGGGGGGCCTGAGTGTGGCTGTGACTGCTGCCCACCAGGCCCTTCCTGAGATGTGGGACCCCAGGAACTCCCCATGGCTTGAGTGGTGTGGACCAGCTGCCCCCTGAAAGGAACCAGCACACATCATACTCCCAGCTAGGGGTGACTCTGGCAAAGTGGCTCCTGCCACCTGCCTGGCCCAGGTGGGTGAGTGCCCCTTCCTGGGCCTCTGTGTTGCTCCTGTGAAATGGACAGGGCACATCTGAACAGGACATTTGTTAATTTTGTAACCAGCTGGCTTCCATCCCCCTTTCTTTGGGGGATGGAGCTCTGTCCCACTGGAGGCAGTCTCAAGGCCCTGTCCACAGGTCCTCACCCCTTCCCTACCCAGGGGGTCCAGCTTTGGTGAGTTGGCATTCTTTCCCTGCACTCTGCATTCAAGAGGAGTCTTGCCTGGGAAATCCCATGGACAGAGGAAACTGGCGGGCTATAGTCCATGGGATCGCAAAGAGTTGGATACAACTTAGTGACCAAACACAAGTGCAACAGTGATGACCCAGCACGGCCATAAATAAATAATCAAAATAAGAGGAGTCTTGTTGGACAGGAGAAGCCCACCGTGATGAGGCTGTAGCCATGACCCTCCATCCTGTCCATTCTGCGGACTCCCCAAGAAGCTCTCAATAAATCTTTTGGTTTAGTAGGCTAGAGTTGTTTCTGTTGCTGGTAACCAGAGAGTCTAGTTTGGTGGAGGCTGCATCTCCTGGGAAGAGTTTGAGATGATGGACATGGTGGTCAGTGGGGTAGATGTTTCCAAGGGCTAATGGAGGCCTGTGGGTGGTGGGTGGGTGATTGGGGGGAGGTGAGTTAGGCTGAGTGAGGCTAGTGCCCCTCCACTTTTCATCCTGCACTGTGACCCGAGAAGTTGATTCACTTGGACCCTCAGCCTTCTGCTAGAATCTGCCAGAAGGGGCCACCAGCAGGAGGTAGAAGGAAAGAGAAGTGAGAAGTCCCGGGGGGAGTGTTCTCTCCCCACTTCTCTCTCTCTATCCCCCAACCCAAGACCACAGCTCCACCAAGTGGACCATCAGTCCAGGCATGTTAAAAGCTCGTGGCTGTTGGCCCTCCTGTGTGCTGCACTACCCCCTGTCAGTTACCTACCCCTGCTGCACTTTGCAAATATCCCCTCTATTACCACTCTCCTGCACTGTCCATTCTGACTGGCTCCTGCTTGTTGCCTGGCCCCTGCCTGATATCATGAGCATCGGGATTCAACCAAAAGGCAATCTAGGCCCTTGAGTAACATTCTGAGCCCAGCGTGGGATTTCAGGGAAGCCCCTAGGAATGTCACCAGGAAATACGACCTGGGCAGAGATGAGAAGCGATGGCAAGCCAGTGCTGCCCTGTAGAACATTCTGTGATGATGTAAGTGTTCTGTTTGTGCCACCTCCAGCCACAGGATGTTGCCGAGTTCTCGCAATATGGCTCATGCGACTCAATTGTGTTCCTCATTTTCTTTAGTTTGAGTTGATGTACATTTAAGGTTTTTCCTCTGTTTTTTTTTTTTTTTTTTGTGGCAGTGAAAAATATGCATCATATAAAATAGGCCATTTTAACCAGGTTTTTTTTTTTGGCTAGGCGGCATGTGGGACCTTAGTTCCCCGACCAGGGATCGAACCCGCACTCCCTGCAGTGGAAGTGTGGAGTCTTAACCACTGGACTGCCTGGGAAGTCCCGTAGCCAGTTTTTTTGGCTGCGCTGGGTCTTTGTTGCTGCTCATGGGCTTTCGTTAGTTGCAGCAAGCTGGGGGCTAATGTGTGGTTGTGGTACAAGGGCTTCTCTGCGGTGGCTCTGTTGTCGCAGAGCACGGGCTCTCAGTGTGTGAGCTTCAGTAGTTGTGGCACGTGGGTTCAGCAGTTGCAGCTCACGGGCTCCAGAGAGCAAGCTCATTAGTCGTGGCCCACAGGCTCGGTTGTTCTGCGGCATGTGGGGTCTTCCCCTACCAGGGATCAAACAAGTGTTCTTTGCCTTACAAGGTGGATTCTCAACCACTGGACCACCAGGGAAGCTTCCCCCTTAAAAACTGCACAATTTTTAAGTGTACAGTTCAGTGACAATAGGTACATCCACAAGCTATAACAAACCTAGACAGTGTATTAAAAAGCAGAGACATCAATTTGCCGACAAAGGTTATGGGTAGTCAAAGCAACTGGTTTTTTGGTATAGTCAAAGCCAGTCATGTAGTGATGTGAGAGCTGGACCATAAAGAAGGCTGAGCACCAGAAAATTGTTGCTTTTGAGCTGTGGTGGTGGAAAAAAAACTCCTGAGAATCCCTTGGACAGCAAGGAGATCAAACCAGTCAATCCTAAAGGAAATCAGTCCTGAATATTCACTGGAAGGACTGATGCTGAAGTTTAAGTTCTTTATGGCCACGTGATACAAAGAGCTGGGCTCATTAGAAAAGACCCTGATGCTGGGAAACATTAAGGGCAGGAGGAGAAGGGGACGACAGAGGATGAGATGGTTGGATGACATCACCAACTCAATGGACATGAGTTTGAGCAAGCTCTGGGAGATGGTGAAGGACAGGGAACCCTGGTGTGCTGCAGTCCATGGGGTTGCAAAGAGTCGGACACGACTACTGAACAACAGCAAGAGTGTTGTGGAGTTATCACCATCATCTATTTAAATGGTGGTTGTAATCCCTTAGCCCGGCTTAAAGGGGAGCTTGGCTGCCCTTTCAGTTGTAGATCCACCCTGCCCTTGGCCTCCCCATCTCAGTGAGTCTAGACACTTGAGTGGCATCTTGATTCTTCTCTGTCCTCACTCCATGTTGCTTCTTCAGACATGCTTTTCCTCTTGGGCTCCAGCCCACATGCTTCTCTTTGCTTTCCTTGGCAATAGCCAAGGTCCAACCTCCACCATCTCTTGCTCAACAAATGTGCCCATCTCTTCTTGGGTCTCCCTGCATCCCTTCTGGCCACCCTCTAGCTCCAGGCAGCAACTGGGGAGCCATTGGTATAAAGTATATCTAATCCTAGACATCACCCACTTCTGGGTTCTAGTGCTGCAATGAGGAGCCCAAATATCCACATGATCCAACAGGTACCCCCACGACTTGGCCCAATTACCATCTCCAACCACTTCTATGAAGCTGTGTCCCTTGCTCGCTATGCTCCAACCACACAGGCTCTTTCTAGCTTCCTTGAACCCCGTTCCTTCCAACCTTTGCACTTGCATTTCCCTCTGGCAGGGACACCCCTGAAGCCCGGCTCTAACCAAGTTCTCCACACAAAGGACTCCTCCTCAGCCAGTCACATCCTCACCACCCAAGTCTGGGCCAGCATCCCCTGTTACACCAATGCTCAACTCCTCGTTCATCTTCCCTGTGCCCACCACATTTATAGTTGATTAATAATTATTTGTTTCAGTGTCAGCCTCCTTTAACATAATTTTATGAGCTCCATGAAGTCAGCTCCCTAGGGTTTCATGTGCGAACTGGCATGGAGCAGGTAATCAGTAATTATTCTTGATTGGGTATTTTCCTGCTTCCCTCTCAGACCCCAGAAGCAGCATCATCCAGTCAAATCCATTCCCTATGTGGGCTCTGACCTTGTCCCTCTCTTACAAGCTCATTGTTGCCCTTGGATACCACCTGCTTTCCTCTGCTTAACTTTTAAGGGCTTTTAAAATCCACCATGCTGGCAGCCACCACCTCCAATGTTCCTCCAACCTTTCATTCTGAAGACAGAAGGGGCATCAATGTACTAGCCTGCAGACCTTTGCTATAACTGCTCCTTTTGCTCAGAATTCAGGAGACCCCGGTTTGATTCCTGGGTCAGGAAGATCCACTGGAGAAAGAATATTCTTTTGCTTCCCTGTGGCTCAGCTGGTGGAGAATCTGCCTGTGATGCAGAAGACCTGAGTTCGATCCCTGGGTTGGGAAGATCCCCTGAAGAAGAGAATGGCTACACACTCTAGTGTTCTTACCTAGAGAATTCCATGGACAGAGGAGCCTGGCAGGCTATAGTCCATGGGGTCACAGAGTCAGACATGATGAACAACGAAGACTTTCTGCTCAGAATACCATCACAGACTTGGTAGGAATCAACCTGGCACCTGGCACTGTCATCTCTTCTTTCCTAACAGAACTGATCTGGTTTGATCACACCTGTGTGGTTTAGGGGAAGTTGAGTAGCATGACCCAGCCTCCTCAGGTATTGACAGAATATATTGGGAGAGAGACATGCCCTGTTAACTGGGGTTGTTGAGCTTGGGAGAATGAAGCATCTGTCTGAAGCAAGAGGCATGGAGAAAGACAATGTCTTCATGCCATTGCCGGAAGTCCTGAAACAATAAAGCCATCTTGTCCTTAATTTTCAGCTTAATCCCATTTGTGTGGGGCTCCTTGGAACTGAAAATTGTGATCCCTGTCTCTTTGTCCTCCCTCAAGACAGAGTTTTGCAAGGGCAGAGTTTTG